AGTTTATTGTCCCCCCACCGTGGTTGGGCTGATCGGAAATTCACCAATGGTGCACGGTTGCCAAACAGTCCACAACGTATACGGCAGATGGCGCTGTTGACTTTTCAATCAGTGCGCTCAAAGGCAAGGATTAGCCCGACACCACCAAAAGCCTTAAGAGATTGTTGGGGCAAGTGCTGTTAGCAAGATGCACCAATGAAGGCCGGGATACGTAGCCATGGTGATCATGGTGTGACCAGCACCACGCCCGGACGCATTGGTGTCCCTCGAGCCGGTCGACTTAGGTTAGACCCAGGACTCATTCAGATAATCCTCACCGCGGTTGGTGGTGGCCAGGAAGTGGGAATCGAACTCTGATGGCCGTGGGTTCGTAAGCGCAGTGCGTCCTAACCGCATCACCACCGCTCCCCAGACGTGAGCACACATGTGACAAAAACAAGTCCATATTATTTTTCAAAATCTTTATTACATTTTTTTTAACTCTCCTCAACCATAACTGTACACATGAACATGTTTTTCTTCTAAACGTATATATATATATTCCTTCTACAACCATTGGCATTAAGAGTATATTAGCTTCAATCCACTTGGCGTCGTATATTAAAATGAACACACCCGGGCCCCGATCACGTTGGGGTGTGGTAGTCTGTCAACATGCATCAGAGAGCGAGTGCGAGTGAGTTTCGATAACAAGAGGGAGAGGCTAACCTGCGGTTCCTGAGCCACATGCGCCTCTTTAAAGGCTGCAGTACGGCTCTTGGAATTCGAAAACAAAAATGTCCCTTCTTGTTGTTTTGGTTGCCAACCCCTGAACATGGGAGTCCAGTTCTATTCACCATGGTAGTGCAGCTCATCATTGAAGTCCAGTCCACCATGGTAGTGCAGCTCATCGTTGAAGACCAGTTCACTATGGTAGTGCAGCTCATCATTGAAGTCCAGTTCACCATGGTAGTCCAGCTCATCATTGAAGTCCAGTTCACCATGGTAGTTCAGCTCATCATTGAAGTCCAGATCACCATGGTAGTTCAGCTCACCATTGTAGTCCAGTTCACCATGATAGGCCAGCTCATCGTTGAAGTCCAGTTCACCATGGTAGTCCAGCTCATCATTGAAGTCCAGTTCACCATGGTAGTGCAGCTCATCATTGAAGTCCAGTTCACCATGGTAGTGCAGCTCATCATTGAAGTCCAGTCCAACATGGTAGTCCAGCTCATCATTGAAGTCCAGTTCACCATGGTAGTCCAGCTCATCATTGAATTCCAGTTCACCATGGTTTCACCATGGTAGTCCAGCTCATCATTGAAGTCCAGTCCACCATGGTAGTCCAGCTCATCATTGTAGTCCAGTTCACCATGGTAGTCCAGCTCATCATTGTAGTCCAGTTCACCATGGTAGTCCAGCTCATCATTGTAGTCCAGTTCACCATGGTTTCACCATGGTAGTGCAGCTCATCATTGAAGTTCAGTTCACCATGGTAGTCCAGCTCAACATTGAAGTCCAGTGCACCATGGTAGTGCAGCTCATCATTGAAGTCCAGTCCACCATGGTAGTGCAGCTCAACATTGAAGACCAGTACACTATGGTATTGCAGCTCATCATTGAAGTCCAGTTCACCATAGTAGTCCAGCTCATCATTGAAGACCAGTTCACTATGGTAGTGCAGCTCAACATTGAAGACCAGTACACTATGGTATTGCAGCTCATCATTGAAGTCCAGTTCACCATAGTAGTCCAGCTCATCATTGAAGACCAGTTCACTATGGTAGTGCAGCTCATCATTGAAGTCCAGTTCACCATGGTAGTCCAGCTCATCATTGAAGACCAGTTCACCATGGTAGTCCAGCTCATCATTGAAGTCCAGTTCACCATGGTAGTGCAGCTCATCGTTGAAGACCAGTTCACTATGGTAGTGCAGCTCATCATTGAAGTCCAGTTCACCATGGTAGTCCAGCTCATCATTGAAGTCCAGTTCACCATGGTAGTTCAGCTCATCATTGAAGTCCAGATCACCATGGTAGTTCAGCTCACCATTGTAGTCCAGTTCACCATGATAGGCCAGCTCATCGTTGAAGTCCAGTTCACCATGGTAGTCCAGCTCATCATTGAAGTCCAGTTCACCATGGTAGTGCAGCTCATCATTGAAGTCCAGTTCACCATGGTAGTGCAGCTCATCATTGAAGTCCAGTCCAACATGGTAGTCCAGCTCATCATTGAAGTCCAGTTCACCATGGTAGTCCAGCTCATCATTGAATTCCAGTTCACCATGGTTTCACCATGGTAGTCCAGCTCATCATTGTAGTCCAGTTCACCATGGTAGTCCAGCTCATCATTGAAGTCCAGTTCACCATGGTAGTCCAGCTCATCATTGAAGTCCAGTTCACCATGGTAGTCCAGCTCATCATTGAATTCCAGTTCACCATGGTTTCACCATGGTAGTCCAGCTCATCATTGAAGTCCAGTCCACCATGGTAGTCCAGCTCATCATTGTAGTCCAGTTCACCATGGTAGTCCAGCTCATCATTGTAGTCCAGTTCACCATGGTAGTCCAGCTCATCATTGTAGTCCAGTTCACCATGGTTTCACCATGGTAGTGCAGCTCATCATTGAAGTTCAGTTCACCATGGTAGTCCAGCTCAACATTGAAGTCCAGTGCACCATGGTAGTGCAGCTCATCATTGAAGTCCAGTCCACCATGGTAGTGCAGCTCAACATTGAAGACCAGTTCACTATGGTATTGCAGCTCATCATTGAAGTCCAGTTCACCATAGTAGTCCAGCTCATCATTGAAGACCAGTTCACTATGGTAGTGCAGCTCATCATTGAAGTCCAGTTCACCATGGTAGTCCAGCTCATCATTGAAGACCAGTTCACCATGGTAGTCCAGCTCATCATTGAAGTCCAGTTCACCATGGTAGTCCAGCTCATCATTGAAGACCAGTTCACCATGGTAGTGCAGCTCATCATTGAAGTCCAGTCCAACATGGTAGTCCAGCTCATCATTGAAGTCCAGTTCACCATGGTAGTCCAGCTCATCATTGAATTCCAGTTCACCATGGTTTCACCATGGTAGTCCAGCTCATCATTGAAGTCCAGTCCACCATGGTAGTCCAGCTCATCATTGTAGTCCAGTTCACCATGGTAGTCCAGCTCATCATTGTAGTCCAGTTCACCATAGTTTCACCATGGTAGTGCAGCTCATCATTGAAGTCCAGTTCACCATGGTAGTCCAGCTCAACATTGAAGTCCAGTGCACCATGGTAGTGCAGCTCATCATTGAAGTCCAGTCCACCATGGTAGTGCAGCTCAACATTGAAGACCAGTTCACTATGGTAGTGCAGCTCATCATTGAAGTCCAGTTCACCATGGTAGTCCAGCTCATCATTGAAGACCAGTTCACTATGGTAGTGCAGCTCATCATTGAAGTCCAGTTCACCATGGTAGTCCAGCTCATCATTGAAGACCAGTTCACCATGGTAGTCCAGCTCATCATGGAAGTCCAGTTCACCATGGTAGTCCATCTCATCATTGAAGATCAGTTCACCATGGTAGTCCAGCTCATCATTGTAGTCCAGTTCACCATGGTAGTCCAGCTCATCATTGTAGTCCAGTTCACCATGGTAGTCCAGCTCATCATTGAAGTCCAGTTCACCATGATAGGCCAGCTCATCGTTGAAGTCCAGTTCACCATGGTAGTCCAGCTCATCATTGTAGTCCAGTACACCATCGTAGTCCAGCTCATCATTGATGTCCACTACACTATGGTAGTCCAGCTCATCATTGAAGTCCAGTTCACCATGGTAGTCCAGCTCATCATTGAAGTCCAGTTCACCATGGTAGTCCAGCTCATCATTGAAGTCCAGTTCACCATGGTAGTGCAGCTCATCATTGAAGTCCAGTTCACAATGGTAGTTCAGCTCACCATTGGCGTCCAGTACCACCATGGTAGTCCAGCTCATCATTGAAGTCCAGTTCACCATGGTAGTCCAGATCATCATTGAAGTCCAGTCCACCATGGTAGTCTAGCTCATCATTGAAGTCCAGTCCACCATGATAGTCCAGTTCATCATTGATGTCCAGTTCACCATGGTAGTCCAGCTCATCATTGAAGTCCAGTCCACCATGGTAGTCCAGCTCATCATTGAAGTCCAGTTCACCATGGTTTCACCATGGTAGTTCAGCTCATCATTGAAGTCCAGTCCACCATGGTAGTCTAGCTCATCATTGAAGTCCAGTTAACCATGGTAGTGCAGCTCATCATTGAAGTCCAGTTCACCATGGTAGTCCAGCTCATCATTGTAGTCCAGTCCACCATGGTAGTCCAGCTCATCATTGTAGTCCAGTGCACCATGGTAGTGCAGCTTATCACTGAAGTCCAGTTCACCATGGTAGTCCAGCTCAACATTGAAGTCCAGTTCACCATCGTAGTCCAGTTCATCATGGCATCAAATGAGTACCTTGGTGCGATATCGACCGAGGTGAGTCCCAGGGCAGGTTCAAGAAATCGTTACTGGTGTTGGCCGTGAGCGGGAGCAGAGCTTGGATCTCTGGGTTCGTAAAAAAGCGCTAACCATTGTGCCACTGCTCCCCCATACATATAACGGTACGCTGCAGTCGCATAGAGTCGGGGTAGAATCAACAACAACAGCAGCAACAGCAGGGACGCACTCGCGATTACAACCGAATAAACCCTTCGTTCGAGAGAAAGCAAACAACAATAACAACAACACGCGGGATTGTACGGGGCGATCGCCAGCCACGTGGGAGTCACGGGGTAACCTTGCTTTGGAACACGGCGTAATCCCTCGCCCACCTGAGGGCGGACCACGCTGTGCCACGGGATGGTCGTGTACATCTTTACGAGATATCTCACACGGCCAAGTTGAAACCAAACAAAGAAATAGCTGCTGCTGTACCATGTCAAGACACTTGCGAGTTGCCCAATCACCCTCCAACCCCCCCACCCACCACCACCACCACCACCCACCCCCCACACCGCCCCCTCCGCCTCACCTGCCCACCAGCTATGATAATGTGGAATTTCCACTGCTGGCTTAAAGACTGCTAATGAATGAGCTTTGCCCCCGTTGTCTGAAACCTGAGACTGGCAGGACGCACTTTGGCTTTGATTTGGCACTCGTGAATAGAGGTGGACGGAGGTGACTAGAGATGAATAGAGGTGGACAGGGGTGACTCGAGGTGACGAGAGGTGACTCGAGGTGAATCAAGGTGGAGCGATTTACCCCTCCCTCAAATCCCCCCGAGTCTACCCAACCATCCAACCCACCGCCGAGGCGTTCTACGAACTGTGCGCGATTCATAGCCGTGGTTCGATGCAAGAACGAATGGCATTTTGTGTTTTTTTGTCCTATTTACGTGGTGATGAGTGGCGCCTCTAGTCGATGCGAGGGCTGGCGTGAAGCCAATTACAAACCAAGAAGGTCAATTCTTACACGGGCATCGTCAACCGCTTAAGAATCGATAATGGACTCCAAAGGATTGCCATCGTCCCAGCCATTACGCCCTTGGTGCAACAACACATGGGTTTGAATGTTGTCACAGCATCAGAGCAGGTGTCCTGGTTTGTCGCCGTCCGAAATGTCTCGCGAGTTCGGCGTCTTTTTGAGCGTGGCTCAAGCAACTTGGCACGGGTGAACAAAGGGGCCCCTCCACAGTTGAGCCTATGGCATCAAGGTCAAGAGGTGAAGAAACACATGTTCTTAGTATCACACTGACATGGTGTGTGCGTGTTTTTTTTTTATAAGCAAAGAATACGGACCATTATCACCGCTCCACACGCACACAAAGATCCGCTGGTGGTCGGGGCGTATAAACTTATAGAGGCACGCACAGGCACACATGCGGACACAATGGCAATGTACTTAAAGTGCCTTATTAAGTTTAAAATCAGTTGCTTGGGTGTATAAAACTGGTGGCTTGTCAATTTTTTTATCACATTAGATTCTACCCCACCCTCCGCCACAACGTCTCGTTAATAGTATTCCATTAAAGTATCGGTTGCTCTTCACCGACAACTGAAACGATTCGATACAATAAACCGCAGGAGCCGCGACGTTTCATGCAATTACGGAGCTCTCGTTTCGATGTTGCGAGGTCAGCGATATCACAGCACCCGACTTATGCGTGGTCCATGCAGAGTGCTTGCATATTCAACGTTTTGAACCTCCTAGTTTGTATTTGTTGTTGTTATTGTTGAGCGACGGTTTTAACCTGCTTCCGCGGGAGCTTGTCGGATATGAATCAAGAGGGAATCAATCGCGCCGAGGAAAGCCGCCGAGTTTGAGCCGAACGATTTTGCTTGTTTGTATTACAAGCAGAACTAAAACAAACGCAAATGCAAATAAAATGTGCATAGGTGGGGGGGCTGGGGGGGGCATTGGAGTCATACTTGGAAAGGGGAACACATTTCACAACCCCATCGGTGATCGACTTACTTCAAGGTCGTAAGTCAACCGTGACCCTCGGGGTGAAATTTTTAATTTCCACCCCTGGCTTGGGAGATCCTGCCAACGCGGGTTGACTCTGCCCCTCGACCCATTTCATTGGGGGGGGGGGAGGGGGCTGTGGCGGCGACACTTGCGTAAGTAAAAAGAAATATTTTCACCGCATGAACCGATCTAAATTGAGAACGCCAAAATTCATTTTTGCGTGCAAAGCCAGCAGCAGCATCAACAGCAGCAGCGTACGTACACGCATAACACCGCCGCCGGCTCACCGCAGCTTTGGCCGCGGCACGGCGCTCGCGTGAGCAGCAGAGGTGGCGGCTCGGCATCTGGAGGCCATTTCGGTCGATGTCATCTCGAGACGCGATTGTGACTGGGCGCGTGGGGAGCGGTGGAGGGTTGGGGGAGCAGGGAGCGGTGGCTATCTACCCCATCGCCTCCCATGAGTCAAAACAAAAATGCGCGGCGTCTGCAGACGTGGAGATCACACACAGTGTGTGTGTGTGAGAGAGAGAGAGAGACAGGCACTGGTCTGTTGTCAGCAACGTCTCGGGCTCCTATTTCATCTACCACCCTGTTCCGTTCGGGCTGGACGGGGTTGGATATTGTTTGACTAATAGCACCCCCGCCAACCCCTCTCCTGCACACACCAGGGGGTGCTGCTGTGTGCGGTGAACGCGCGCAAAAGCCTTCGGGCGACACGCGAATCTGAAAAGTCAAACGCTGACCGCGCGTTTCGTTGGGGGGGGGCACTTCACCCATCAGATGGCACATGGCTGCCACGTGCCGTGCGTAACCACTAACCCCCATACACCCGAGCAAACCCGTCAGAGAACCAGAACGAAGGGGTCTTTTCACGATGCATATGAACCACAGCCGAGGCGCGCGCGCGTGCGTGCGCGCGTGCGCACAATAAAATAAAACAGTCTATTTGCCAATGTACGCGGAATTAAGGTCATGACGGATGTTTAAGGTAATGATGGATTTTTTGTTGTTGTTTCTTCTTAAGGCAAAACGTCAACGATTAATGCATAGAATCTCAGCGTGCGCTGCGCGGCGTGGCCAGCGTGCACGTGGGGCTCGCGTCGCCCGCCAGGCGGCGCCGCCATCGTCTCTGCGGTGTACGAGCGGACTCGCACCTGCGACGGCGCTTCTTTGATCTCTCACCACTCTCTTGATGAGGAGGGTGCAGCGTTGCCGTGAGCGCATGGTGCTCGCGGAGCCCTCATTGTTTTGTGTCCACGCTATCGTCCGCCCCCCACATCTCCTCCCGCGCTAAGTCGTGGTTTGTTTAGGGTGCCCTTCGTCGTCGATCAAGCGAGCGCTGGCGGCCGTGGCGCTCGCGACTGCTGCAGCGATGCGGGCGCAACGCGAGATTCACAAGCAGCGCGCGAGCGTGCGTGGAGAGGACTCGTCGGAAAGATGCGGCGGTGTTACGCAATAGTTACATAATCCACGGGCGGGGTGATCTAACACACAAATGTAACCACAACGTAATCGACATATACCGAGCTGTGTTACGTCGTAAACGGTATCTTTAGTGCGAAGTTTAAACGCCGAACGTCCGCTGAGGTTTTCACTGTCAAGACAAACGATGGTGTGATGATAACGCACGACGCGGGAAGGGATCTCCAGACGGCAGCGGCAGTGGCAGCAGTGGCGGTCTCTCTCCCGCTCTCTCCTGTAGAGGCTCCATCTCTCAGGTGGGGTTGTCCTCCTGCTAAGGCACTTGGATGACGTTCGCTGCCGAGACGCGGGAGCGGCCGCGTTGCTATCCCTGCGAGCACACACACAGATATCGGATACGTGACATGGATCTGTACGTATAAATGTACGAGGGAAGGACAACAAGCTAAACATGAAAAAAAATCAGATCTAAATAATGAGTTTCTCGATCTAGATTTAAAAGTGCATAGCTCCAGAGGCTTCCTAATATCGAAAGTAAGAGCATTCCAGACGGCCGCAGAAACGCATTTCACAGCGCGGGATGCGGTGACTATCTTTGTTTGATGGTTAGCCAAAAGCCGCTGCTGCTGCGAGGATGACCGGGGTTTGCGTGAAGGTTTATGCTCCTTGACGAGATCAGCGAGGTCTTGTGGTTAATTTGTGGCAAGCACTTTTCATGTAATAAGCGCGACCTTATAATGCATTCGTTCAACAAACGGAAACCAATGCAGCTCAGAGAGCACTGGACGGACATGGTGGGATCTTGCAGTACCCGTCACGACCACGTGCCAAATAATTGTGTTACACGTTGCAGATTGGTTATGTTTTTGTTCGCCAGACGTCCTGTAGAGTAGGCGAGTGGCAATAATCGAGCCTTGTCGCTATGATGCTACACACCCAGCGTGACGAACTCTGATCGACCAGCACGTACGTAGGTCGTGCGATAGTCTGTCGCCCATGACATTATATTGGTGACATCTCAGCAGCAAATCCTGACCTGTTGCCCGGGCTGCTTGTTCAGAATCTCATGAAGCTCGGCATCTGTAGCTTCCAGTCGGCTGCTGGTGGAGCGAGATGGGGGGGGGGGGGGGGGGGGGGAGGGGGGGGGGGGGGGGGGGGGGGGGACACAGGGATGTGGCGATATGAGGGATTCGATTTTTTTGTTTTTGCGAGAAATGTCACCAGCAGTGGAAGAAACCAACGGCGCGTGCCCCTCAATGGAGGAACAAATCCCGTCTCGAGATTCCACCGCGCGGTTTCATTCACTGCGCTCATTCCGAAGAGGTCATTCTCGATATTTTGAACTTGTATACTTAAGGTGAGCAAGCCAACGTGTATGTGTGTATGTTGAACTTCTTTCACAACCGTACATGACCAATCGTGCTAATCGGAGGTGCGGGGGAAGGACCACAAACGAAACGGAGGGATAACAAACTAAACATGCTTTATATTGGCAGATATATAAGAACAAAACAAAATATCCCTCCCCTCCGTCTTTAACAGACTGTTGGGGAAAGTGCTGTTCATGAGCATACATGAAGGCCGCTATGGTACACGAGGGAGGTGTGGGTGGCCAGCACCACAACCGGTCGTGCCTTTATCTCCTTTATTGCGATGTTTTATACACCGCACTCAGTTGAGGCTGAGTCAATCTAGTTTGAGGCCCAGGAACGGTTCAGATAATCGTCACTGGTGTTGACCGCGAGCAGGAATTTTTTTTTTTTTCACCAGGTAAGGACCACTGAACTATATAAGATAATTTTCAGAAGCAGACTGGCCACAAATGATAGTTCAACAAAGTGGCCTATCACGTGGAAATTTATAGCAGCCAAATACTCTGAACGCATTTTTCTACATGTGGAGAGGAAAATACCGGAGGATCCGGACAAAAATTCACACAACCATGGTGAGAGCCACCGCAAATTCCAACTATACAGGCGTCAGGGTCGGGATAGAGCCTGCGACCTCCTGTGTACCAAGAGATAACACTGAAAATATCCACAAAGACAGGTTTGTTGTATGTATGCATGTTGAACTTATTTCGCACCATACGTAGCCAACCGTGATAATCGGAAGCGAGGGGGAAGTATAAGAAGCTAAACACAAAAAGCAGTCCTAAAATAAATTAGTTTTCAATTTAGATTTAAAAGTGCATAGCTCCAGTGGTTTCCTAATATCGGAAAGAAAAGCGTTCCAGACGGCCAAAGGAGCGCATCTGAAAGCGCGTGATGCGGTGACCATCTTTGTTCGATTACTAGCCAAAAGCTGCTGCTGTTGCGAGGATGACCGCAATTCGCGTGATTGTTTACGGCCCTTGACGAGATCAGCGAGCTATTGCGGTTCATTCGTGGCAAACACTTTGCGTGTGTAATGCGTGCGATCTGTACTGCCTCGTGCAGGACTACGCGCACACACCCCAGTGAAATTCGACAGCTTCACAAATCCCGATGCGATTCACCAACCCACGCCTCGAAAGCGCCGGGTGCCGGCAGACAATGGACCACCACGCGTCACCGCTCTTAACGGCTCGAGAAGCAGCCTTTTGGTTAAACGCGGGGGAAACACGCGACGACCAGCTGACTGACTGACTGACGATGCATGCCCGTACACTCCACGAAGCTCCTGCTGTCCGGAGGGACTGGCAGCTTTCTCCTCCGCTGTTTGGGCATCTCCACGGGGACCTGGATCGATAGGAAAAACGCAAAGATGGTTAACGCGCGTCGTGACAGCACGGGACGCACACCGTGCCACGCACATCGTTTTCCTTCGCCCTGTTACTGACATAGACGAGCGTGCCTTTCCCCCCCCACCCCCCCCCACCCCCCCATGGCTAAAACTACGAGTTGTCAAGGAACAAAAACGCTTTTTACATTTATTTTGATGAAATACTTAATGATGTGATTGGGCAAGAGGAGCAGCGATTCATGTATATTTAATAGCCTGGGTGCGAACGTGAGACAAATCAAATATTGGGGCCCCACCCGACCATTTGCCACAGATCCCGACCTGGTAATCTCGTTACTCGCTACTGGTTACATGGCAAATTATTTGGTGATGCTGCTGCTGCGATGGCAGTGGGTGCACAAGCACAATTAACAAACCAAAATCTCAACACATTCCGTGTCAATAAACACGCCGTGGCTTCATGTGAATATATTTAATCGGCGATTTTTGAGGCAATGGTCCGTTCTTGATAGCAATGAGCCAATTCTATGTGCTGTGCAGAAGGGCTATCGCCCAGCAAAATGTCAACCCTGTTCTAAATATATTTTATATGTTTATTAAGGCCACAGCGTCCAAGTGCCAACGCGTGAATGACGGACGCCCGGGTGCGTTTGCACGGCAGGTCGGTGGGATCCAACCGAGAGACGATTTCCTACACCGTGACCGATCTGCCGCTGAGGAATCCCCGCCACTCGCCGAGAGGGTCACGCGGCGTTACGCGATCAAGCAGTTCGTAAAAAGGAGAAGCGGAGATAAACGAAGCGGAGTAACAATAACGCGCCACGGTGGCGAGATGTTAACTACCTCCCATGGTCTACAGGAGGCGGTGGATTCGATCCCCGACCCTGACGCCTGCTGTATATTTGGAGTTTGCATCTCTCTCTCTCCATGGTGACGTGGATTTTTCTCCAGGCCCTCCGTTTTTTTTCCACGTGATAAGCCGCTTATCAAGATTGCTGCAGAAAAAAATGGTTATATAGCTCAGTGCGCCTTATCGAGTAAAATAAAAGAATAAATAGCAGTAGTATCTTCGGATTGGCAAAGCCGACATCCGTTGGACAATGTGCAATGACACGCAAGAAAAACGCAAACGCCGATCGTAAATCCACAACGGAGTTCCTTCAGACGACATGGATTTGCTTCAAATGTGAAATCCACTAGCCCCCTTCTTCCATCTCACCGACCCATCACCAATTCCCCCGCGCCCCACGTCACGAACAAGCCATGGAGCCCCCAAAATTAATTCGAAGCAACCAATTTCACATCCCACTAAATCTTTGGAATGTCGCATCAAATGGACTTCTACCCTTTAGCCCTCCAATCAACTTTTGCATCGTTCCATTCAAGCGGCGTTGCATCAAATCCAAATCGATCTGCTCGACTTTGCAACTCATTAACCGCCTCGAAGCTCACGCCAGGGTTTGCCAACCGTTCAGTTGTGAAGGAGACCGTCTCTCGCATTTGACCTTGCTGCACCGTGTGTGCGTTACGGGTCTCCAACCCCGGGGAACAAGGTGTCCGCCGTTTTTGGAAGTGTGCTCTGTGCATGGTGGCGCACCACGCCACGGCAAGGATCGTGCTTGACGGAATGTGGAGCAGAGCACGCGCACCATGTGTATGCTTGTGCAGTGGGAACCACAACACGGCATGGAACATGCCTGACAGAACATGGGGTGCTGCATGTGTGCAGCTGTGTAAGGTGCGCGCCCCACAACAGGGAATGGAGTATGCCTTGAAGGAACATGGAGTGCAGAAAGTGTGCTGCTGCATCAGGTGCACACATCAATACGGCACGGATCGTGCTTTACAGAATATGCAGCAGAGCACATGTACTGCAATGGTATGCAGTGGGCACCACAACATGGCATGGAGCAGGCTTGACGGAACATGGAGTGGATCATGTGTGCTCTGCAAATGGTGTACACTGCAACGTGGCATTGAGTGTGCTTTAACAGAACATTTAGCAGTGCACATACACTGTACGGTGTGCACCACAGCATGCCAAAGAGTCTAGTCGATGGAACATGGGGTGGATCATGTGTGCGAACCCTTTGCAAGGGGTGCAACCAAACACGACATGGAGCAATGCTTGATAGAACTAGTATCGACTCGGCTCATTTACCTGTCTAAACAAATGCTGCCGTGGAACACGAAGCAATGAACTATGTCTGCGTTCATTGATCTGATTCAAATTAATATGAGATCTCAGTGTGCGTCTATGTGCGTGTATGCGCGCGTGTACACGTTGCACGTGACGTAGGCAGCGCTAGTCGCTTAGCGCGTCACGTGGAACGTGTTTAACAATCATCTGGCGCGTGCAGCGTGAAATGAGTTAATTTGTACGTGGAGGGGTAAGTCGGTAAACGCGGAAAAAGATGGAGCACGGTGGTGGGTGGGTAGTGGGTGGGTGGTTGTGGTGGTTCGTGGCCACGAGGACTGGGGTTTGGGATACCCTGCGTGACGTGTTGCAGCCGGAGAACGGCGACAGAAACATTCGGAGGCAAAATGGCAAGGACAGGATGCATCCAATTTTGACTTAAAACTTTCGTGAATGCAGGAATTCATATTCTTGGTTCTTTCGGTAAAGTCACGTAAATAGAAAGAAAAAAAAAATTGAAAATAAAAAAGCACGACTTTTCAATTGAAACGTCGTGGGTTTTTTACTTTAATTATTTTCCAAAAAAATATTTTTGTATTTTTTTGCATGACTTTACGTCACTTTACCGAAAGAATCAAGAATAAGATGCATCCACTGCAGAGACTGGCCTGTGAATTCTTCCTCTGGGTGACCTCTGGCGACGCTTTCATGTCCAAGGACGAAATCTGCTCTTCGATATCCGAGATCTGGCGGGGTGGGTGGTGAGGGGTTGGTGGTGGGGGGGGGCGGAAATGGCGAGAGCACGGCAGGCGATTGAACAGAGTCCCGGTGCTTGGGTGGGTCAAAACAAAAACAACCTCACCGCTGCACAGTTCCCCAGCAGAGTGCGGTGCTTGGAATTAGAAATAATAAATCCCGGCCAGGGCAGCAGTCGTGAAACGAGAGCGGCTGCTCGTGTCCCTGCCCAGCCAGGGCTGTTTGGCAAAACACGGGATCGTCTTCCAGAAAATAATGGCAGGAGCCAGCGCCGATATTTATACCTGTCAAGATAAAAGACATTGCACAAGGCCGCACTGGACACTGTGCCAAACGCCGTACTTCAAGAAGCGGGGTCTCTTTTTTGTCAAGATGAGGTTGTACGCTTCAGATCAATGGCGAGAACCACGCCCGACCGCCTTTGTCTCTCCCCAGTGGCAATGTTTTTACACACCTGCACCTGGTACTCAATTGAGGCTGAGTCGACCTAGGGGAGTCCCAGGACCGGTTCAGATAATCGTCACCGGTGTTGGTGGCCATGAGCTGGAATTAAAGTCGGGTCGCTGGGTTTGTAGTGCAGTGCGCTAATCGCTGCACTACCGCTCCCCACTATCGCCCCTCCACACACACACACACGTACAAATGATGGTCAATAATCTGAATACATTGGTCTGATGATGGACGCAAATTTATGGTGGTAGCGATGATGATTTAACCAGATGTCAGCCCAGTGAGATTCGTGATCGATTATGGCATCAGCACAGGTGAGGAGGAGAATCAGCCTGATGAGCTCGCTACGAGCTGTTTCCGTGCCGTTTATACCTGGCCGTGTGCTTTACCGATGCTGTACACACAGGTGTAGCACAGGTGTGCTGCACTTGTGCTACACACATCCATAGGTGGAAATACCTGATCCTACAAAGGTAACATGCCTGTGCCGGTCATACCTGCTGGGTGGTTGTGGCTATTCACACCTCTCATTTAGCACTGTGCTTACACCTATATCCCACCTCTCCAACTCCTGTACCTCACCTATATCCCACCTCTCCAACTCCTGTACCTCACACCTATATCCCACCTCTCCAACTCCTGTACCTCACCTATATCCCACCTCTCCAACTCCTGTACCTCACACCTATATCCCACCTCTCCAACTCCTGTACCTCACCTATATCCCACCTCTCCAACTCCTGTACCTCACACCTATATCCCACCTCTCCAACTCCTGTACCTCACCCTATGCCAACACCTGAGCCAGGCCTGCGCCACACCTGTCCCACTCCGGCATCTCACCTGCACCACACCTGCACCCCCCAACACACCTTGCGGCGCCCCGTACCTGCCCCTCTGCTCGCTGCACCTGCGCCGCGGCGGACGCCACGCGCCCTTCGAGCATGGCGATGTCCGCGTCGCTGGAGTGGGCGTGGACCCCGCGCGTGCACTGCTCCAGCTCGCGCAGCTCCGTCTCCAGCTGGAACGCGCCGCCAGCCCCCACGTACACCTGCAGTGACAGGGAGGGGGGAGGGGGGAGAGAGGGGGGGGTGGGGAGGGAGGGGGGGGCGGGGAGGGAGGGAGGGGGGTCGGGGAAGGAGGGAGGCGGGGCGGGAGGGGGGCGGGGAGGGAGGGGGGGCGGGGAGGGAGGGAGGGGGGGGCGGGGAGGGAGGGAGGGGGGGCAGGGAGGGAGGGAGGGAGGGGGGGCGGGGAGGGAGGGAGGGGGGCGGGGAGGGAGGGGGGACGGGGAGGGAGGGGGGGTGGGGAGGGAGGGAGGGGGGGCCGGGAGGGAGGGATGGGGGGCGGGGAGGGAGGGATGGGGGGCGGGGAGGGAGGGAGGGAGGGGGGGCAGGGAGGGAGGGAGGGGGGGCGGGAAGGGAGGGGGGCGGGGAGGGAGGGGGGGGTGGGGAGGGAGGGGGGACGGTGAGGGAGGGGGGGCGGGGAGGGAGGGGGGAGGAGAAGGGGGAGGGAGGGAGGGGGGGCAGGGAGGGAGGGAGGGGGGGCGGGGAGGGAGGGGGGCTGGGAGGGAGGGGGGGTGGGGAGGGGGGGTGTGGGGAGGGAGGGGGGGAGGGGGGACGGTGAGGGAGGGGGGGCGGGGAGGGAGGGGGGAGGAGAAGAGGGAGGAGGGAGGGGGGACGGGGAGGGAGGGGGGCAGGGTGGGAGGGGCGGCAGGGAAGGGAGAGTGAGGGGGGGCGGGCAAGGGGGAGGGAGTGAGGGGGGGCAGGGAGGGAGGGCGGGGAGGGAGGGCGGGGAGGGGGGCTCCATTCAGCAGCCGCACACCAAGTCTAGAATGCCTCTCTCTCTGAGTGACTCCAGTCACACTAAGTCTAGAATGCCTCTCTCTCTCTGAGTGACTCCAGTCACACCAAGTCTAGAATGCCTCTCTCCCTCTGACTGACTCCAGTCACACCAAGTCTAGAATACCTCTCTCTGACTGACTCCAGTCACACCAAGTCTAGAATGCCTCTCTCTCTCTGAGTGACTCCAGTCACACCAAGTCTAGAATACCTCTCTCTCTCTGAGTGACTACAGTCACACCAAGTCTAGAATGCCTCTCTCTCTCTGAGTGACTCCAGTCACACCAAGTCTAGAATACCTCTCTCTCTGAGTGACTCCAGTCACACCAAGTCTAGAATGCCTCTCTCCCTCTGACTGACTCCAGTCACACCAAGTCTAGAATGCCTCTCTCTTTATCTGAGTGACTCCAGTCACACCAAGTCTAGAATGCCTCTCTCTCTCTGAGTGACTCCAGTCACACCAATTCTAGAATACCTCTCTCTCTCTGAGTGACTCCAGTCACACTAAGTCTAGAATGCCTCTCTCTCTCTGAGTGACTCCAGTCACACCAGGTCTAGAATACCTCTCTGTCTCTCTCTCTCTGACTGACTCCAGACATATCATGTCCAGGATACCTCTCTCACTATTTATTTACATACAATTCTAACATGTATAAAGCAGACCACAATATTAGAGGCATCACTGCAGTGGCCCGTCGTGCATATGTTAACCACAAATTGTTAATACAGGAATTAACAATAATTATTTACAGCCATTTGTCAATCAACTGCTAGATGTCGGTCTCCCCACAATGCATCATAATTGAGCCAGGCGGTGAGCCGGCGCTACCAACAATTGCCCAAGCTCTGTCGTCCACTATAGATTAAGATGTTATTTAGCCAAGTTAATGAGCGTTTAAACTCATGGAATGCAACAGGCGCCCCCAGAAAAAAAAAAAACCCACGCGTTTGCAAGGGGATAGAAAAGATCTATCCCATTCAGAAGGGACACATGCCATGAGTGCTCACTCTGCTGCACTGCCTTCTCCTGGCGATCCAGGGCACGGGCACCTCCTCGACGCACGACGCCAAATGTGTCTCGCAACAAAACTACGCGGTGATCCACCAACCCCTCTCGCTGCTGCCTCCGCAGCGCTGCCGTTAGGCAGTCGCGTGCGGCGGCAGCCACCGCCGCACGCCCGTACAGATGCTTTTTTAAAAATAATTATTATCGTCTCCATCATCGCCCTTTTCTACCCATCCCTTACGTCTTCCTCGAGCAGAGAGAGGCACGAGTCGAGGACCCTGGCCTGCTGGGCCGTGAGTGCCCGAGGGGAGGTGGCGGCGGCCACCACACAGCCTGCGGGGGAGGCGGCCTCCCCGACGAGCTGCTGCTGCTGCTGCTGAGCCGTGTTGATGAGGCGGAGGGCGTGGGCCGTGAGCGAGCTCACCGAAGCGGCCGAGCACCTCTGGTGCCGCGTGGGGGGGGGGGGGGGCGGGGGGCAGGGGGGTGGGGGAGAGGAAGGAAGGAAGGAAAGGGTGACAGAGGAGATCTGAGACTCGGGCGAGAAGCGAGAGCGGAGGAGAGTAAGCGGGGCGAAGATCGCGTCGGAGGACCGCCCACATGGCCCCACGGCCCGGCAGCGCGGTGAACATGGAACGTTGGAGCAATGTTGGATCCAACATTGAGCCGACGTTGGGCCAACGTTGGGCCAGCGGTTTCAACCACACGGCAATGTTGGGCCAAAGGTTGCACGTTTACTGGGAGACGGCGGCGCGAGTGAAAGCGCATGAAAGAGGAAAGTGTTTGATCCGAAAGTAAAATGTCACCATAGGCATTGTAAGTAAGATGGAAGATCCCCCCCAATCCCCCGGGTTTCGACCTTTAAGGTCTCATCAGCGTACCACATGGGCCCTTATAAACAACCACCATCGGGCTTCCGGATGTCACAGTAGAGTCGTCGGCACAATCTGTCCGTGGCACAATCTGTTTGTGGCACTATCTGCATGATCTGGTTGCGGAGGGCAGGGGGGGGGTGGTGTCATTACCTTCCTCAGCTCCTTCTCAATGACCTCAAGGTCGCCATCGTCCTCGCTGGAAGACGCTCGCCTGCCATGCTCCTTGACGGTGGAGCTTCTCTCCTCTTCCTCCTCATCATCATCGTCCTCCTCCTCCTCCGTGGATGAGCTGCCAGTCGTCCCCTTGCACGGGCGATCTCCGCTTGCCTGCAGTCCGTCGGCCCAGCCACGCTCTGCCGCTCCGCACAGCAGCTCCGGGGCTGAGGCCGACCTCGTCCCAGTCTCGACCCATGTCAGGAATCGTGGGAAATATTTATTTTTAAAAGATGTTTGTGAATTTCCATACGTTCTGGCCGCTGGCCGACTGGAGTACGTGGGAAATGCAACTAGTAAAAGCCACAGACCTAGCGATATGTATACTGGATGTGGTGTGCCAGGAGCATATATATACGTTCTGAATTGTATCCCTGCTATTAATTACGTGTGCAGTCTGTGTGTGTTTGTTTGGGGAGCTGTGGTGCAACGGCAAGCGTGCTGTACCACGAAACCGGTGGCCCGAGTTTGATTCCCACTCACTACCAATAACAGTGGCGAATACGGAAACTGGTCCTTGGCCTCACCTAGGCCAACTCAGCCTTGAATGGGCACCAGGTGCGATGTGCAAACATCGCCACTCGGGAGACAAAGGCGAACCGTGCGTGAAGTTGGCCACCCACCCCCTCTCGTGTGCCTTACCGGCCTTCATAGGTGCTGCTCACTAACAGCACTTGGTGGTTAAACAAGCGTAATCAATAGCCATTAAAATACCTTGAGCCCAATCTCTCACGTCCTCTAAACTCAGGAGCACAGCGTTTTTTGTAACCGCCCCCACCCCCCCCATACCATCGATTGTGCTCTGTACCAGGCTCAGACTGAAATATTACATAATAAAAACATACAAAATGAATAGAAATACCTTAGCCCAGTGGCACTCGGAGCCAAGGCCTCGCTCCAGTGCACAGAGGCTACTCTCCAGATCGGACAGGTGGCCACGCAGAGCTGCCAGCTACCCCGTGGGGCCAGCAGGCAAGAGAGCCGGGAGAGAGTGACGGTTAGGGCAAGGAGTGGTAAAGGGAGGACAGCGCAAAGCCAGACACAGAGAGAGAGAGACAAAGAAAAGGTGAAAAGGTGAAACGGCGGGGAGGCGGATGGAGGAAACGCGTCGCACAGGGGAGACTGAGAAGCGCATCGTCGATGCACTGCGGTAACAATTCAGCGGTTGCGATTACAGGGGTCGTTGGTAAGATGATGGAGCCAGACCTGATTGGTGCCGCTGGGTGCGTGCTCCCGGCATTCCTCCGGTGAGTCCGTCACGGGCCCCGGCGCGGCCTGGCGGGACCACTCCTGTTTCCAGGCAGGCCTCTGTGCGGCGCCCTCCGAGCCGCGCGGCACAAATTGCGCGGGCAGCCTGCCGGGCCTCTCTCGCACGCCGCCGCGCCCGCCATCGCTTGTCGCTGCCCGGCCGTCTCCGCCGTGAGACGCCACGAAGCCGCGCTCCACAACGGCGCCGAAACGGCACCCCATGGCGCCGCAATCCGTCGACCTCCCATGGTTCGCGGGCAGCTTCTTCTTCTTCGTGTCCGCCACGGCGGCGGCGACGGTTGCCGCAGTGGCGCCGCTTCCCGGCAAGAGCAGAGGCATGGGGCAGCTCGTGGGCGACACGGGCGAGAACTCGGAACCCGCCGACACGCTGGTGCCTGCCGAGATGCAGGAGGAGACGCTCCAGCTGGCGTCCCGGCTGAGCGGCGGCGCACAGCTGCGGCACCGGTGGTGGTGGCGGTGGTGGCGGTAGTGCGAGCCATCCGAATCGGCCCTGGAGTTCGACCAGGAGGAGTAGGCCTCGTCCGAGGGCGCATGGCTCGTGACCGCGGGGTTGTCTGCCGTGTCACTGTCGCTGTCGATGACCAGGGGAGAGGCGGACGCCATCTTCTTTGCTGGTCCCCGGGGCGAGCGTTGTGTCACCGGCTCGCCATCGCCGTGCAGGCACGAGCGACGGCCTGCGATGGCGAGATGTTAACGACCTCGCCTGGTATGCAGGAGAACATTTGGAGTTTGCATGATCTCTCTTCCCGTAGTCACATGGATTGTTCTCTGGGTCCTACAGTTTATCCCTCCACATTTAGAATCAACAAGACGCATTTCAAATTATTTGGCTGCTATACATTTCCATACGATAAGCCACTTCGTTGAGTAATCATTTGTGATGGACAGGTCGCTTCTGAAAGAGCCGTATAGCTCAGTGGGCCTTACCTGGTGAAGTAAAATATAGTTTTAGTAGTTTAGTTTAGTTCAAAGTTTCGAGATCGTTTCGTTTAACGGGGCGAGAACTCAAGAGTCCCGCCGGTGTCTCGAGAGTGACTCGGGGTGGCCAAAATGACGATAGCAAAAGTAATAAACTCCGAACGTCGGGAACGTTGGGCAAACGGTTCCAAACACGAGCCAACGTTGGCCCAGTGTTGACCCTTCACTGGGAAGCGGTGGCATGCAGAGAAGATTGTTCGAGTGATAGGCAAGCAGAGATGCATTTATTTAAAAACATTTTGACTTAAAACTTTCGTTACTGCAGGAATTCATATTCTTGGTTCTTTTGGTGAAGTCAGGTAGATATAATTTTTTTGATAAAATAAAATTTTCGAATTTAAATAATAAATTAAAAATAATGAAAGCTTTTATTATTTTTACATATATATGTATTGCGCGGGGTTGTGAGATGCACGCTTGGAACTCTGAGCAGGAATCCGATTATTTTGCAAGTGCACGTGCGTTCCACACGATGCGCTGACTTGTTACTTGAGGTGGTATTGAGCAGACAAAAACTGTACAAGCACGAGGAAACAAACTGGGAAACAATACAAACGGGATGGTGAAAACCAAAAGTGAATAATAATTATCGATCCTTTGCGTATGTTTTTTTTTTTACCTGGAACGAGTCCCTTTCGCAAAGCAAAAAAACATACGAGGCACTGCCAACATGCAGTAACCACGTTGTGGCCAGCGGGTGGCAGTACACAAAGTAGGTTGCGAACCTGGCTTAAGGGATTTTCTGGGAGCAAACATTTCTCCTGAAATTAAGTTCGAAATTCATAAACTAATTTGTCAAACAACCCAAGTGATTCCATGCCAACAATACATTTAGGAGCACTCAGAAGTAAGTAAACCACGGTCATTCCATAGATTAACTGGCCCCCAGCATCCCAGTAAGCTTGCCAACGTTGTTGACACGTGATTAGAACCGTTGAACCCACGTTTTATTCAACGTTGCATGTCTACTCGTATGGGAATGTAGATTTCCGACTGGTGCGTGTTTGAACTGACGACCCTATAGGAGCCTTCATTTAACAATGAAGGCTCCTATAGGGTACCTACTCCAAATGCACAAACCAGAGCACTATATTTGTTATTTCACTCCAAGCAAAGAGTTTATGGACTCCGTTTCGCACGCCTCCCCGGGGTCCAGTCCACCTTTCCGTGATGACCTTTCTTTTATATTAATATGCAAATTAACCCAGTGCACACTGCAGATGCCTGTTGGTCGGTAATAGCCAGATCGTGAGGACCGGGATTTAGAAAGTCGGACTCGGATCATGCACTGGATTTATGGATCCCAATTCCAGCAGAAACACAGTCCTTACTTCCGTGGTTTCCCTCCAGCGCCGGGCACACAGGATCGGCCTTGGGCAGCAAAGTCTCGTCTGTCCCAGCTTCTGCATAAGCGAGCGAGTGCTGCACGAGAAAACACGTGGGCCCCGTGTAAAATTATTGCCGTCGTCGTCATCATCATCATCATCGACACTCAAACGTGTCCTGCTCGTAAAACTACGGTCCCGGCCATGTGCCAACGTTTGGCGCAGCGTCGACAACACTTGCCGGACAACTCGCCCGCTGTACCAGTCGACTCCTAGCCACCTCCTCCACCATACCCCACCAAGACGTGCGCCCCCCCCGCCGCCCCCACCCCCCGCAAGCGCTGGGTCACAGGCACGCGCGCCGACGCCACCGCGCCCCGGCCGCGGCCCTGCGCCAAAGCCTCTGCCGTGGTGTTTGGCCATGGCGGGTTACCCCGGGTGGCGCAACCGGCCAGTTGGCCGTGGGCGTTCAGTCCGCGACGGGTGCCGGCGTGGCACCTTCTCACCGTGAGCGGCGGGGGGCGACGGTGCTCTCCGTCGGAGTCCGCGCTCGACTGCGGCTGCTGCTGCAGCAGCAGCAGCTGGAGGGGAAGCGAAGAGGAGGGAGTGAGAGAGGTTGGAGAGGGTTACGGATAACAGTGGCGGCCGTGGCGGTGGTGTTAAAACGGTTCGACATGCTCGTCGCACGACCTCCCGGGCGGGTCGCTGCGCTTTCACCTCACGGGCGAGGCAGTCGAAAGCGATGGGGCGAGTTTCTCAAAGTCCCGTTTAACCTCTTCTGTCCACCCAGTGGTGCGAATAGGCAACGCCGAAGTGGCTTTTTTGGCGGGTCGGCAGGCGGTGGGGTAAAGTGTGGGTGCTCCCACCTCTTCAAACTATGTCAGGCTAATGTGGAACCGTAGACCAACAATAGCATCTAAAAGTGGCTCCCTGCAGCTCCCTCTAACGGGATTGCCATCAATTCCATGAAAGTGATATTCATAGTTGCCAACCGTGCTAATCGGAGGTGCGGGAGTGGGGGGGGGGGGGGGGAAGAACAACAAACTGAACACAAAAGGAAGTTCTAAAGAAATTAGTTTTCATTCCACAGCTCCGGCGGACTCCTAACATCGGAAGGAAGAGCGTTCCAGACGGCCGCAGAAGTGCATCTGCAAGCGCGCGCAACGTGTCCGACGGCTCGCCAAAAAGCCACTGGCCGTAGAAGGCGGACGCACAGCGTGCATAGCGTGAGTAGCGTGCATAGCGTGAGTAGCGTGCATAGCGTGAGTAGCGTGCGGGCCGTGACTGGGGGCTGCCAGAGCGCACCCCCCCCCCACACCGCCCAGCCGGTGCGGCGCGGTTAGCAACGGCCGCGTTGGCTCCAAGCGAGCACCTTGTGAGCGAGGCTGCTCGCGAGCTCCTGCACAAGCTCCTCCGTGTTGCCCTGCAGGTCACTCAGCCCAGACTTTGAGTCCTGTCAATGGTGGAGGCGATCACAAACGCACGCACGCACACACGCGTTATAACGACGACGACAACAACAACAACTATTAAAGCTATTTTTTATTTTACCAGGTAAGGCCCACTGAATGTATCTATAGCTCTTTTTCAGAAGAGACCTGGACACGAAGTGGCTTATCATCACGTGGAAATGCATTGCAGCCAAATACTCTAAGCCCATGTTGATTCTAAATATGGAGGGAAAAAACCGGAGGACCCAGAGAAAAATCCACGTGACCACAGGGAGAGAGAGAGAGAGAGATATGCGGACTCCAAATATACAACAGGCATTGGGGGTCGGGATTGAATCCACGATCTGCACACCAGGCGAGGTCGTTAACATCTCGGCAGGCTGCGTCGTTACCATTCTGCGCTCGTGCAGCTCAGTCCTCCTGATTGCTTCCAGCACCGCCTCGTAGGCCACGCGCCACACTACGGCCTGCACCTCGCCCAGCGGCCCTGAGCACGCGGTCACCGCAACAGCGCCACGTCACCACCGCCACAAATGGTGTCGTCACCACCACCACCACCGCCACCGCGAGGTCACCACGGCCATGATACGGGGCTTCCGTGTGATGATGGTGATAGTAAAAAAAATATAATACACAACCGTACGTCCGTGAATGTCATCAGATGTGAATGTCAACATTTACAAATGTAGGCAAAAGGGTACTTTTAATAAGCACGTGCGTGCAGTACGTTTCGACGAAGTTATGAAGTCCCCGTGTAAACAATTCAAATCAATTGTCCATTAACTTATAAAGTGGAATTTCTGAAAAATATTTTACCCGCATCTTGGTAACACTTAGCACCCCCACACATAGCCACTGTGCGCACATTCATTTCGGTAAATCCCCACGAAACTTAACGATTTTAATTCATGAACAAAATCTAATTGGAATCCTGCACGCAACGTTGTGCGGGGTCCGAGTGCAGGGACTCTCTCTCGCGTGCGCGAGCGTGTCCGTGACAGTGAGCCGAACCCCCCGCGGTTCACCTTACCGTCACGAAACCCGAGACGTTGCGGCGTTCCTCCGCTCAGCCCAGCGCTCTCCGCCGAGTCCCAGGCGTCATTGTTATTCGCTGGGCATAGGGAGAGGGGGGAGAAGAAGGAGAAGCAGCAGCAGCAGCAGCAGCAGGAGGAGGCATTTCCGTCAGTGTTGGAACATCGGAACGCACGTCACGGGTGAAGCTCTGCCCTCATCATAGCACGCACGCACAAAGACAAAGGTCCCCCGTGTAGCCGTAACAGATTATTGGGGCAAGTGCTGTTCGCGAGTAGCACCTATGAAGACTGGCACCGCACACGAGGGGGTGGCTGGCCAGCACCACGCTCGACTGCCTTTGTCTCCCCAGTGGCAATGTTTTTACACACCTCACCAGGTACTCATTTGAGGCCGAGTCGACCTAGGGGAGGCCCATGACCACTTCAGATATTCGTCACTAGTGTTGGCCGTGAGCGGAAATCGAACTTGGCCTACCGGGTTTGTAGCGAGCACGCTAACCAATATACTAACACACACACAAAGACAACGATCCCCCGTATAGCCTTAACAGACTGTAGGGGCAAGTGCTGTTAACGAACATCTATGAAGGCTGGAACGGTACAGGAGGGGGTGGGTGGCCAGCACCACGCCCGACCGCCTTTGTCTCCCCAGTGGCGATGTTTACACACTGCACCAGGCACTATTTTTTAGGCTGAGTCGACCTAGGGGAGGTCTAGGACCGGTTCAGATAATCGTCATTGGTGTTGGCCATGAGCGGGAATTGAACCCGGGTCGCCAGGTTCGTAGCACACCACGCTAACCGCTACACCACCGCTCCCCACTAACACACAAAAGACAAAGATCCCCCGTATAGCCTTAACAGACTGTAGGGGCAAGTGCTGTTAGCGAGCACCTATGAAGGCCGGAACAGTACACAAGGGGGTGGGTGGCCAGCACCACGCCCGACCGCCTTAGTCTCCCCAGTGGCAATATTTTTATCCACTGCACCAGGTACTCATTTGAGGCTGAGTCGACCTAGGGGAGGCCCAGGACCGGTTCAGATAATCGTCACTGGTGTTGGCCGTGAACGGGAATCGAACCCGAGTCACCAAGTTCATAGCGCAGCGTGCTAACCGCTACACTACCGCTCCCCACAACTAACACACACACACTTGTGCACACACGCACGCATGCACAGAGGAAGTCTGCGATCTCACCCCTGACGCCCACTCGTCTGATGAGAGACGCCCGTGTAAATTAACTCTCCGCCCGCCCGCCCGCCCGCCCAGCCCCAGGGTCGACGCCAGCGCTCGCATTTTTAAAACTAAAACGATTTAATTTCGCTGTGTAGCTCTTTTGCAGAAGCGACCTGGCCACAAATGATAGCTCAAAGAAGTGGCTTATCACGTGGAAATGTATAGCAGCCAAATACTCTAAGTGCGTGACGTCGATTCCTAAATGGGGAGGGAAAAACCGGAGCACCCGGAGAAAAAGCCACGCAAACCACGAGGAGACACGCAAACTCCAAATATACAGCGGGCATCAGGGTCGGGATCGAACCCGCGACCTCCTGCATACCAGGAGATGTAGTTAACATCTCGCCACCACAGAGGCAAGATGGGGCTCAGTTGACCCTCGACTGAAATTTGAGCTCATGTGTTGGGCGGCGGGGGTGAAGACGGCGGTAGTGGCGTAGCCCTAGCGGTAGCGCGTCCACCGCTTGTTGTTTGCAGACCTTGACAGTTCGAATCCAGCGTCCGCCCCTGGTTATTACTGCTGGCGTATAATAGCCGAAAGGACACTACGGGCCGTCCGCTTCACAGGGGACGTTCAGGATCCCCTGAGACGTCACTCGGTATCGTACGTGTAAGTTGGCATCCAGGTCCAAATTGATCAGATTCACCAACTACTCAATTGGATTTGCACACATAGCATCCACCGCTCCCTCCCTGCCCACCCTCTACTGGGAGATCAATGCACCAGGTCACTCCAGCAAATGAGGCTCGTCCTGATCTCTTTAGTTCTCACCTGAACATACGTATGCTGAACTTATTTTGCACCATACGTAGCCAACCGTGCGAATTGGTGGTGCGGATCGAGTGGTCTCCCAACAACGCGCCACCCCCCAGAAGACTCCGGGGCTACGGGCTGTGTTATCGTCCCACCACCCCCCCCCACCCACTGTACTTCCGATTAGCATGGTTGGTTACATTCGGCGCGAAAGAAGTTCAACATGGATACGACCACGGAGACCAACAGATACTCAGACCCATAGAGACCCACAGATTAGCAGGGTTGGCTACGTTCGTTGTGAAAGAGGTTCAACATAAAAGACAACCACAGAGACCCAGAGACCCACAGACACCCAGGCACAGCGACTCACGCAGTCCCACAGATTAGCACGGTTGGTTACGTACGGTGCAAAAGAAGTTCAACATCAAGACAACCACGGAGACCCACAGACACCCAGACCCATAGACGCCCACAGACATCCAGGCCCAGCGACTCACGTAGACCCACAGATTAGCACGGTTGGTTATGTACGTGGGGAAAGAAGTTCAACATACATACAACCAGAGACCCACAGACACCCAGACCCAGAGACTCACAGAAACCCACAGAATCGCATGGCTGGCCACGCACAGTGTGAAAGAAGTTCAACGCACACAAAAGCTCCAAAAGTCCTCGCAGCAATGGCCTCGTCGCCGGAGCATCCCGGGGGTGTTGTTCACCGGTTCCACGATTCCCCTGCCCATGGGAGCGGTGGCCGGAGAGGGAAAAAATCGTCGCGTCCGTAAAAAATTTCGGAAACCGACGACCGAGAGGGAGCTCGCTCGCGGCTCAACAGCTCGCTCACCCCTTCTACACAAATCCATTGTGATTACGACGATGAATATTATTTGTTCTTTAATTTTTCACTTTAATTGTCGTCCAGGCACCGAGGGGGAGGGGGCCCACTCGCTCTGTACCCCCCCCCCCCCATCCGCCCGGCACGGCTCCGAGATTCCCGTTTAAATATTTGATGCCGGCGGAGTTGTGACAGACAGCCCACATATTTGTCCGTAATTGCTAAATCAATAGGTGCACTTCCCCATGGTTAGCGGGGCAGCCAGAGGACGAGTGCAGACATCGTTCACCAGCAAAACCTGATGGCCGTGGCCGTATTTGCGATTTTTCTCAACGTGCGAGCTTCATGGATTTTTTTTTACATATTTACGACTACATCTCTTTAGGTTTTAAGATGTGACCTCAGGAGTAATGTTTATAAGCCGGAAGGGAACCCTGCGGTGGTGTTACTTGTAATGATGTGATGCCAAGTTGTCATATTTTGTAACGTTTGATTGCAATTAATATATCATATCAACGTTACATCGTCTTTCGCTCGTGCTCTTTTGATAATATTCCTTGCAATTCATTTATCAACGAAAGCTTTACTGAACCAAAGTGGAAATGTATAAATATCCAAAGCGGAAAATTCTACATTCTCGTCACAAGGACCGGTCTCTCCATAGCATAACTACAGTTTACTTCCCATGGAAGTGTACTCAATTTACCCACCCTGGACTAATGATGATGTTGTGCTGAATGGATCTCTGGGCAGGCAAAAAATCGACGCCAACTCCGCGTCGTCAACGTTACACGAGAGACACCGCATGGTGTTTCAGAGCTTGTGTAATTGGCGCTCGTCTCCCCCAATAAACTTGGCAACAATATCTCCTCTTCTCGAGACCTCGTCATTTCCACCGTCGCTCGCATGTCAGAGATGACCCCAGAGGCCGGGCACTCCACATGTGTGTCCACATCTCAATCCCCTCCGCGTGCTGCGGCTGACGGAAACCTCTCTCGACGGCACGACATCGTGCGACCGTTATCTACAACGATGACGCTGAGTTACTAACAGCATCGTCGTCGTGACGAAGGGGTCGCGACGAAGGTCGCAAAAACCCTCGTGACGTCGGAAATGAGACGCGTGGAGCACAAACGGATTTCAGCCAAGAGCACCAACGTGAAAGTGCCGTTGAGACCCGGCAGTCTCTTCTTGAAAAGGGAGCGCTGGGTTTAATTGAGTTGCAGGGGGAAACAAAATCCCACGGGAAAACCAGCGACTGAAAATAAAATACCGTTCAAAAAAGGATGTATTTTTATAGCGCAATTAGAAAACGATTTGACATCATTCGACCCGAACACACAAGCTTGTATTCCATATTCAGTGCTCTTTGTTAGCATTGAAATGGACACCTTCCACAGAAAATATCCATTAGCCATCAGCAAAATAGAATTTCTGTTCCACTGATGACATACGATATTGAATTTAATTACAGGAAACGGTGGTGCCACAGCAGCGAAGCCGCTCCGTCGGAGCCGTGCCTGCCACTGTGAAGCTGCAGCAGCGAGGCCGTCCTGACGACGCCGTGGCCACGACGCCGCCACCTCCGAGCGACGGGGCCGACGCTGCTCTTCCCTCACCACCCCCCACATGAACACACACACACACATCCCCACATAGAGCCCCGAAGGGAGGTCAACTGGCCGACAAGTTTTCACCCAGGAGCCCCCTCATGGGACCAAGCTTCACGGTTTCCTGCAACCAGGGAATTGGGCGACCTCCCCCGAGGCTAACGTGCACCGTGGCGCCGTGACTTGGGTTGTAATCACGTGGTCACGACGGGGTTGCCGAGCCACCGCGGATAGGAAACAACAAAAACACACACGGGTCAGCAGGCAGGTAGGGGGTGTGGGGCGGAGTAGCGAGCGGCGGGAAGGCAGAGAGCCCCCTCCTTGCACATCGTGTGCAGCGGACGTCGGAGAGAGCACCGATCAGATTAGCGAGGAGCGGGAAAACCGAGGCTCCTGATTGGACAAGAGGCCAGCGGATTAGTGGCACGTTATCTTTGATATGGGGATGATAAAAAGGGAGGGAAGGTAGGGGCAAGTCAGTCGGATTATTCCGGAGTCAAGGAGCGGAGGAGTCATCGTGCCTGCTACTGGATCGTCCGTGAGACGAGTCACAGCGCAGCCAGGCCCCGTTCCCAGCGAGGACTACGTGCAGCCTCGCCTTTCCGCGGCTTCCTGCACCTCGGAGTCGAACCGCGAGTATGGAGGAGAGAGGTGAGATAAAGGGGAATATCCCTTAGGGAGAGAGATTGGGGAGAGACGGGGACAGATTGAGTCCTAGACTGCCGGGAGATAGGTTAGACCTGCCCTGCTGGCCCACACTGGCGCGGGTAGTTTAGCTTCATTATTTTCGGGGGAATTAAGCACCGGTAGTCAATAAACCTTGTCGTGTCGTCTCTGCGAGTGCGGAGAGGGGTGCATGGTACTGTGAGCCTTCTCGTCGTGGTATCCTGTGTTTGCTTACGAGCGTGTATTTTACCCGCGTGTGTGCGCTCGCCACTGTGTAGCTCGTAGTTAACGTGTACGCGAGGTAGACGGGCATCGTGCACGCGAGGTTAGCTGCGTGTAGCTCGTGGTTTAGCGTGTGCGGGTGGTGAGCGGCGGCGGACTTGTACGAGGGTACGTGAGATTAGTCGTGCGACCTTTGGTTAGCGCGTGCGAAAGGTGCAGCGGCAGCGTACCTGCGAGTGTGGTCGTACAGCCCTTTAAATCAGCTCCAGGGCATCTCCTCCAATAGGCGGCATGCATACGATTGACGCCCCCCGCCCTCTGACCCCCGAACTCGGGTCCCGCGCGTGCGATTGGTGCGCGGCGCCGGGCGGGTAGCCGCGTCGAATTTTGGTGGCTGCGGGCGCGTGAGTGTGCGCGGCCGCGTACGGCGTGCGTAACGTTTAGAGGAGCACGCGGGGGGGGAGCGGGTGCGGATTAATCCCAGGTGGCTACGCGCCAGCTGTGGGTCATGCCCCGAGGGGCCGCAGCGAAGAGGGGGGGGGGGGAGTCGGTGAGCAGCAACCCTCCACAGGACACGGAAGAGGGGAGCAGTGGATCCCACGTGAGCGACGGGACGGGGGTCAGCCTCCCCGACAAAACGATTGAATGACTTAATAATAGAGAGGCTGCAATGCTGGGGTTTCAAGATAAATACGAGTAGACCGCCCCATCCCGAAAACTGACGTACGGCAAGTTCGCCAATCCATACAGAGGCGTTTGAGGGACACATTCAGAGTACAAAGACAAAGATCCCCCATATAGCCTGAACCGATTGTTGGGGCAAGTGCTGTTACGGAGCACCTATGAAGGCCGGTTTGGCAAACAACGGGGTAGGTGGCCAACACCGGCCTTATCTTCCCAGTGGCGATGTTTACACACCGCTACACCAGGTACTCATTTGAGGCTTGAGTCGACCTAGGGGAGGCCCAGGACCGAATCGAACTCGGGCCGTGGGTTCGTAGTGAAGAGCGCTAACCGCTACACTACTATTTGAGGAACAAAATCAGAGCGTGCAAGCGCTCACACACACATACACACACACATGCTCGCAAGTCAGTGAGTGTTAACCTCGGGGGGAGGGGGGAGGGCGCGGTAATTGAACGTCAACTGGGTCCCAAAAACGATTGAAGAGAGGCGGGTGGAGCAGACAGAGTGATGAAGTTGGCTGGCGTGTGCATGGCTGTATGTATGTAGAACTTTTTTCGCACCGTACGTAGCCAACCATGCTGATAAGAGGTGCGGGCTAACGACAGCAAACTAAACTAGATGATTTCAAAGTGTACATCGCTCCTGTGGCTTCCTAACAATGGGAGAGTGTTCCAGACATCCGCAGAAGCGCAACTGAAAGTGCCCGATGCGGTGAGTCTTTGTTCGATGGCTCGCCAAAAGCCGTTGCCGCGACGGTGACTGGAGTGAGATTGATTGATGGTGGCGTCGCACGAACGTGAGAAGGGTGGCTGTCTGCATGGGGAGACCTTCACCCAGCGGCGGATAGATCACGGGTGATGTTCATAATGATGACCAATTTCAGCCATAGGTAGGAATACTATGCGATTTGTTAACATAAATATAATAACCCGTGTGTCGTGACTTTTGGGCCACCCTGTATACGGCAGCGTAATTGCACACACTCGCACCTCCGATTAACACGGTTGGCTACGTACTGTGCGAAGGAAGTTCAACAAACGTACGCACATACGAACATAAATACGTATGAACGGAAGAGGAATTCTTCCGCCGAGTGTATAACGTGCAAGGATATGTCGCACCATGATCACCAGCGGCGCTGTGACCTCCGCTCACTGGCCCCCGCTGGCTCGCCTCTTTCATGAAGGTTCATAAATCAGTGAGCTGGGAAGGGTCCCAGTTAATGCCAGGCCACTCCCTGAACCCCATTATTCATCCTGCCGAGCATCGAGCACTGAGTACCGAGCACCATCGAGCCGGGAGGAGAAGTTACTGCGCGAGCGGCGTTGTAAAAAAAAAATCATAACTCCAGACTCAAAGTGCTGGCAGTGGAGGCTCAGTTGGTCGTTAAAACAAAATATCATCGCACGGCTGGCCCTGATCCAGAAATAGACGACCCGGATTTTGGTAAGACGGGAAAATACGTAAGCTGCAAATACCAAGTTTAACACTTAGGCTTTCATGCCCAATATCATTCCAAAAAAACCTTTATTATGTTAATAGCAAAATAATAGTCATTATTTTAAGCCCAACGTTCATCCACTGCTGGACGGAGGCCTTCCTTTGCCATTTAGTCACCGAGTTGTCGTTTGACCATACTTCACCACCCTGGTCATTGCTGGGGTTGGTGACATTACCCATTGGGGGTAGACACTCAAGGTCTCAGATTCGTAGCGCGAGATGTGTGGGGTGGGAATTGATGTCATGAGGCTGTGACACGCACTCGGATGGAGGAGGTGGTGGTGGTGGTGGTCGTAGCGTGAGGTATGGGATGTGTTGTGGGCGATCAGGCTGTGTGGTTCACGTCGCAGTGTTTTCGCGCTCGTCACGCACAAAACGCTTGTCAGAAATTAACCACAATACCTTGCCACTGTCGTCAACGAGCATAAATCATCATCATCACGCAATAACTCCGGTCATCCTCGCAACAGCGGATTACGGTTAACCATCGGGCAAAGATGGTGACTGCATTGTCTGGAACGCTCTTCCTTCTGATATTAGGAACCCACTGGGAGCTCTGCACTTTTACGTCATCTCGGTTGAAAATGAATTCATTTACAAACGCTTTGTGTTTCGTTTGTTGTCCTTCCCCTGCACCTCCAATGAGTAGGGTTGGCTAAGTTCAATAAAGACAAATTTCCCCCATATAACCTTAACAGACTGTATAGGCAGGTGCTGTTAGAGAGCACCTATGAAGGCCGGCAAGGCACATGAGGGGGTCGGTGGCCAGCACTATGACCGACCACCTTTGTCTCCTAGCGGCGATGTTAATGCTGAGTGGACCTAGGGGAGGCCCAGGACCGGTTCAAAATAATCGTCACTGATGTTGGCCGTGACGGGAATCGGACTCGGCTCGCCGGGTTCGTGGTGCTGCACTACCGCTCCCCACGCACGGCGTTAAGAGGCAAGGGATCCATACTCTTTTGTTCTTTCGGTAAAGTCACGTAGGTATAAAATAAAATGAATCACGACGTTTCGGGCGCAACACAAGCGTCCGTCATGAGGTGGGAAAAGGATGTTGGGCACGCACAGTGACTTGAGGGGAGGCTGTGACACGCACCCAGAGAGGAGGTGGTGCCTTCTCCTCCGCCCTCGCAGAGTCTCTCCTGGAGCTGGCGGGCCACCTTGGTGCTGCCCACATGCTTGAAGCGCGCCTTGACGCCCTCGTAGAACCAGTCGAGGGAGAGCACCCGCAGGCGCCTGGCGCAAAGAGGGAGGAACGGGGGCGGGTAGGGAGGAAGCAAGGATGAAGATCAGCGTGCACGCGGCGCTCGCGGCAACGCCTCCGCATCTCAAAATCCATCGTGTTGCATCCCATCTCATCTGACCTCTTCAATGTTAGTTTGACCCTTACCAGTGTGCTGATAGTTCAACATCGAGCGACCACAATGTGGTGTTATCTTGGTGTGGTCTGCTACTGTTTGGTCGTTGTTTTTGCTGCCTTATGTAATAAATGTACGATTTCTAATTAGTGACCTGATAACCATTTTCTCTATTTTGCACTCCCGTCGTTATTTTTGCATTGTTTGCCATTGCAAACTTGCCGACCCCGCGCCCATACTGGAAATTTGTGGGAAAAAAGAGCTTCACAGCTCATCGGATTCCTATTCCTGCAGTCTAAAATAAAGATTCTGATTCTGATGGCAAACGTTCCAATGCCCTGCTGGAGGCAAGGTAGGGGACCCTGTGCAATGCAGCTTCAGCCTACAAGCGGGCATCAGTCTGCCAGTAAGTAGGGGGTCAATGTTGCCTTGCGGTTTTAACCTACAAGGTTATTCGCAAGCAAATGTGGCCCACGACGCTGCCGGCGCGCACGTGCATGTGTATCGTGATGGTTGTTACACACACACATACACACGCGTGTGTGTGTGTAACAGCAACCACACGGAGCAAGCGGTTTCAAAGTACAGGGCGCTTTAAAAAAATGTTAACACATATATAAGACCATCGTTATTAATGGAAAAAGAATGGATAAAAAAACTCTAGCATGATAACAATTGTGATGTTAATAGCTTCAAAAAGTTAGTCTCCACTTGTTGGCCATCATTGTCAACGCGTGCCTGGAATATTCTCCAGGTGGTCTCCAGAGCTCAGAGGGCACATTACTCGTGGTATTGTCGAAAATTCTCCGAAATGTTAACATTTTTTTGAAGCACCCTGTATTTATGGCGAGTGGAATGAGCCGCAGTATTAACCAAGGCGGCCACCGGGTGGGAACCGCAAACCTGGGACGCGTCACCACCCTCCTGCGGCACACGGGACGAGAGGAAGGGGGGAGGGAGGGTGTGGTGGGGGGGGGAGGCGACCGATTGGGCATAGTGGAAGACCGCGGGAGTTATGGAGACTGGATGTCGATGAGTGAACGTGAGGACATTCAATTTTCATCAGGCCCCGTGACACTAAGTACAGTCTCCAACCCTTGTCCGCTCTCTCTCTTTCTCTCTGCTGGTCATTTTTACGTGCTATGAAGAAGAGCCATTGCCCCGAAACGTTGGCTTTTTTTTAGCTTTTAAGGCCACGCAGTGTTGTAGGTATGTATGTGTGTGTGTACGTTGGACTTATTTCGCACCGCACATAGCCAACCGTGCTAAATGGGAGAGGTGCGATGGCGATGGTTGGCCAACTTGAAATTAGATTTTTCTCAGGAAAACTATTTCACCATTTGCATTTTTATGCCTCATTTGTTTTATGTTCTTTAATCGCGATCCTCACTTTGGTAAGGTATTTTAAAGGTAATTATGTAATATACTATACATTATGTGATTTGTCGCCATTTTTTCTTCATTACGTATGCCTTTTCATTATACATTTTTCTTGCCACCTGTTACGCACACGTTGCGTTTGCCAGGGAACCGACGATGCTTTCGTCAATGAAACAAGATGCAAGGGCTTCTTAGCTCACGGGGGTCCTTCAAAACAAAGTGAACTGGACCGCTGCCGCCGTGATACGTTTCATTTGGAAAGACACGGGTCAGCCGTCACCATGACCGCGCTGAGCTGGCGCCGCTCAGCGCGCCGTTCGTTCGCCGGTTCCGCGCGGGATCTATGTTTTACGCAACAACGCTCTCCCTCACGGCACTTTCAAATCTTTTTTACGATCGACTTCCATTGATTATATATTTTTTTACACTCCCAGCTATAAAATCCGTCGAATTAATTGGGGCTGGCGTGGGGGGGGGTGCTAGGAGCGGGAAGGGAAGTGGGAGAGTGGTGGAAAGTGTGCACTTACAAGCGGTTAAATCACTTCATTCCGTTACCGGACTGCGAGATCGCTGGAAGTCGAACATCATACCGGCAGCGACGGGAAAAATACATCGCATCTCTACCGCGTAATTTTAGCTTATTTAACGGCACGCGGGAGGAGACTTCGTGTAAATCTCGACTAAGTAAGGATTTCACAGTTCGCTGGCACATTCGCGGATGGGACTGCAACTATTACTATTAACTTTTTATTTTATTTTACCAGGTAAACCCCAGAGAGCTGTGTAGCTCTTTGTAGCTCAACGAAGTGGATGTCACGTGGAAATGTATTGCAGCCAAAGACTTCAAATGCGCGCGAATTCGAAAAAACCAGAGGTGCCGGAGAAAAAAATAAAAATACGCGCGTGTGTGCGTTAACGGTAACGTGGCTAAAGTCGTGCGCTCATTGGCGTAGCTTGAGCGGTGGTGCGGTTTCCTATCGGTGCCCACCCCACTCTCTTCACGCTCGCCTTGTGGCTACTTGGAACGCGTGCGCAATCGCGGAAACCCACGTTTGTGAAATGGCTCGAGAACAAGAGGAGGGTATTTGTCAGTATGCGTGGGAGGTGATGGAGAACGGCTACATTTCGCTTTCATTAGGGCTCATCGGTGACCCACGATCGCCCAACAGCGGCGGGCCGAGTGCTCTGGCTCGCTCGAGTGACGGCTCCTATCAACTCCCTCTCCCGGCGACCAGAGAGATAAGTCTCTAGACAACGTCGTACATTCTGCTCGCAGTCGACTGCCGACACGTGCGCATGATTTGGCACAGCATGCGAGAAGGGGGGGCAGTATTTGGGAGGGGGGTGGGGACGGGGGTGGGGGGAGCGGAGATGGGGGCTGGGGGTGAGAGAAAAGGGTGGCCAAGACGAAGCGCCGACGGCTCCGGAGTCTGAAGCCGGCCGCTTCACCGCCGTTTGACGGAGAGAGAAATTACTCGGCGTGCATGTGGAAATCACCGATCAATAACCAATTTTAAGCTGTCCTCTTAATGTTGCCTTGAAAATGTAAAAAAAAAATGTCCATTTGGGAGCTCGGAGGCGATAAATCGCGGCGTGGGAATGCACGGGCGACACGAGAATTTCGTTTTGGGCGCTCAGGCACGGGGCGCGGGTAATTGCGCGTGTGCGCTACCGGCGTTGGTCGCGTGAATAATTGAATGCTGGGTTCAGCGGTGTCCGTCGTGGTCGAGCCAGATGGATAATTGTTCAGAACAGCAACGCCTTGTAATGGGGATTCATTACCGGACTACGACGTTCTTGTGTTTTTTTTGTTTTATCAGCGCAGCTTTGTTATAGTTTACACACGATAGTTATTGCGGTTTACACACGATAGTTATTGCAGTTTACACACGATAGTTATGTCGATCCACAGAAATATGTTTCGCTATGAATTTAGATTTTTTTAACTTTACACTATAAAACTAAACTACGAACAGTTTTTTTTTCAGCAGGGAAGGCCCACTTGAACTATATATCTCTTTTTCAGAAGAAACCGGACCACAAGTGAAAGCTCAACGAAGTGGCCTTATCAGGTGGACATTCCTAGCAGCCAAATACTCTGAATGCACGTTTATTCGAAATGTGGAGGGGAAAAAACCGGAGGACCCGGAGAAAAATCCACGTGACCACAGGGAGAGAGACATGCAAACTACAAATATACAGCGGGCGTCCGGATCGGGATCGAACATAAAACCTTCTGCGTCCCAGGCGAGGTAGTTAACACCTCGCCACCGTGGCACCTTCAAAGTTACCCTTTCCCACTCACCCGCCTTTCACTCCCCTATTTCATTTTGCCACCCTTTCTCCTTCCCCCTTGAGCTCCTTTGCCAATCACCATGTTCCTCCTCTCACAGTTGTCCGACGGCAGTGCAAATAATATATTTATCTAAGGTGGCCTTCAGTGACCCTTAAAATTGTAGTTGTGTTCACGGTAATCTCGCTGCCAGCCTGTGGCAATGGGAGGCGAGGGGGGAGGGGGGGTGCCATTTCTCCTCATTCCAGCCTGGCCACCATACGCTCACCATTGCAAGAGGCAATTTTGTTTTCACGCGTCTCGATTAAATGATTGCAAGCCCTGCTTCTAAAACGGATAAGTAACATACACACTGTACGCACATCATCTTCATCGTCACGATCAATTGGGGGCAGATAGACCGTAGGTGTCCACTGCACATTTTCGTCATTTGTTTCCACTTTCCTCTCCGCCTTGTGCCAATATGCTTCAAGTAGCGGCCACATATTTCTGGCACTAATCTCTTACGTTGTCGTCAAGCCATTCTCCGTTTGGTCTTCCTCTCTTTCCGGTTCCTTCCATTTTCCCCCTAACAACGGCACACCTTTAATGTCCATGTTGCTGTCCATCATATATATGTGTCCAAATAGTGCCAGTTTCCTTCTCGTCGCTACATAGAGAAAGTGAATCAATAAGAATGGTGCAAATCATTCCGTTTGATAAGTAAAACTATCCCGGGGGCCCATTTTGATCTTCTCACCCCGAGCGAACAGCCCCGCGTCAGCGGCTGCCTCTCCTCACCGTGGCAGTGCCCCGGCACTCCGATTCAGAGACAGCCGGATTCGTAATGAGGTCATGCATAACGCCGTCAATACATCACTGTGTGAATTAGATCTTCACTTACCTCCAGTCCCCCGTGGATTTTAGGAGAATTATAAATATGAATGACCAGTTGTTGCACGCAAAATTACGCGTGCGTGCGTGCCTTGCATCAGCAAGCGGTACCTAATGCGTAACGATGATAGCGCCGGATGGGAAATCTGTCAATTGTTTCAGAAGAAGCGTAGAAAGCTGATATTTGGTACATATATACAGTGAGGGAAAAAAAGTATTTGATCCCCTGCTGATTTTGTACGTTTGCCCACTGACAAATACATTATCAGTCTATAATTTTAATGGTAGGTTTATTTGAACAGTGAGAGACAAAATAACAAGAAAATGCAGAA